GAGGGGGATGTGTGAGAGTACGACGGCTTATGCTGGCTTTGCTAGCTTGCCTAGACTTTATTATGCTATATCTAGCTTGGGTTTTATTTATCATGCATAGATATGCTTGATTTCCTAGGTTAGGTGCATTCCTATATTATTTTGTAGTTATAGCACCGAACCAGGTTACGTGTACCGAACTCAAGCCTATTCGGATTCCACCGAATTGCTTTCTACTGAGTTCGAGAGGTTCTTTTCAGGACGCTTCGCGACCCTCAGAACATTCGCGTAACACCTGGGTTACCTGCCTTGTGTCGAGCCTATATATAGCCTCGTGTTGTACCCAGGTGAATCAATCGATTACAATTCTAATTTCTGAGCTCGATCCTAGATCCTCACATATGGAGAAAGTGTACAGCGATATACTGTACAACCGCGAACCTGGACAAGGAGCATACAACTACGTTATCACGTTCATCAACGCCGCCACACGATACGTCTAGCACTGCAACCTCCCAAGCCGCGACATGGCCCTCGACGCTTTCGCCGCTTGGCTTCCAGCAGCAGAACGAGAATCAGGAGTGAAGCTAAAAAGCTTCCAGTTAGACGGGGGAGGAGAATATCAGTCACAAAAGTTCAAGGACTACCTGGCAGAAAGAGGCATCAAACGACTCATCTCTCTTCCCTATGCTCACCAACAGCAAGGCGTGGCAGAAAGAATGAACAGGACCCTTCAAAACACCATGTGCAAGCTGCTACGTGGCATGCGGCTACCCAACCACCAGTGGCCCGAAGCAATGGACCACGCCGTCATGCTGCACAACTTGCTCTCGTCATCATCGCTCCCGAACAACGCATCACCGCATCTGCTGGGGACAGGAAAATTGGGCAGCACAAAAATGTTGAGAGTTTTCGGCTGCATGGTACAGTACCGACCCCCAGCTGCACGAGCCGGCCGATTCTCCCAACACGCACAATGGGGACTACACCTGGGCATCGAGAAACATTACAACGCATGGAAGATTTTCGACATCAACACAAAGGAAACAGTGGCAGCACGTGATGTAATCTTCTACGAAAGGCTCACCCTCCCTACGTACCTTGCCAACCTGGAAGAAGGAATCCCGGACCTCTCGGACGGATTCCTTGGCTAACGAGCCTTTGCTTCGGCAGCAGACGAAGCTGACTGGGACGAGCAGAATGTGGACAGAGCCTCGGAGGAAGCCGGACCTCTTCCCTACTGCTCAGTTGACGTACCAATGGACGACGAAAATCCTCGCGAAAGCATCAGCGCCGAAGTTTACTATCACTTCGCCGACAACGGTTACGTTACACCTGCAAGAGTCAACACCAACGAAGCAGAACGCGTAGGACCCAATTTCATACCTGATCCAGAAGCGGGAGACGAAGCACTCTATCCCGAGGACACAACTCTCCCTCGCTACACACAGAGCGGACTGCAGATACTTGGCCTCGTCACCGCAGTCCACAGCTCAGCGCCACCTAAGGAGCCTGCCACAGTTCAGCAGGCTCTGGAGGGGGAACACAGGGAAAAATGGCGCGAAGCCATGGACAAGGAGCTAAAAGCGCTGGAAGAATGCAATACCTGGAAAATCGTTCCCATCGGCGTGGCACGCAACAAGACAATTCTCACCGGAAAATGGGTTTTCCGTGTGAAAACTAAAGCAGACGGCACCATCGACGAGTTTAAGGCACGCTGGGTCGTACGCGGCTTCGACCAAGAGCACGGACAGGACTTCACCGAAACGTTCGCGCTGGTCAGCCGACACACCTCTCTGCGGATTCTCTTCGCGATAGCCGCCATGAAGAAGAAGCTACGCCAAATCGACGTCGCCAACGCTTTTCTCTACGCACCTGTCGATGCTGAGATCTTTGTCGAACAACCACACGGCTCCAACGCAGACCCCAACCAAGTCATTCAACTGGTGAAGTCTCTGTTCGGCATCAAACATGCCCCGAGGCTGTGGCAGCAGTACCTACATGCCCGACTCATCCGCATTGGATTCCGCCAGTTGCCGCACGACCAAGGCATGTACCGGCTCACAAAAGGCACCTACTACATTCTTCTCATCGTCTATGTGGACGATCTGCTCTACATCGGCTCGACCGACGACGTCACGACCTGGTTCGAAGGGGAGCTACAACAGGATCTCATGCTCACGGTTTCATCTACCGTAACGCAATACCTCGGGCTCAACATTCAAGAGGAAGAGAACGCGATCTACCTCAGCGCCACGAAATACGCCGACACCATCGCCAAGCGCTTCAGACTCACCCCAACTGCTATCTCCACGCCATATCGCTACACCGCCGGAAGTCACAAGGAAGTCTCAACTCTGCTCAAGCCCGCCGGCATACGCGACTACCAGCGAAAGCTGGGATGTCTGCTCTTCGCAGCCGTCACCTGCCGACCGGACCTCTCGTACTCCGCAAGCCAACTCGCCACCTACCTCAAGAAACCCGAAGCAGAGCACATGGCGGAGCTCGACCGCGCACTCCACTATCTCGTCAGCACTCCGACGATCGGCCTAGCCTACCACAAAAATGGAACTACAACGTCCAAGCTGATCAGCTATGTCGATGCTGACCACGCCGGCGACTCCGACAACAGGCGCTCACGCACCGGCTACATCTACCGACTCGAGCCTATCGGACCTATCTCGTGGCAGTCGAGCAAGCAAGAGCTAATAGCTCTCTCCTCAGCTGAAGCAGAATATATTGCACTCTGCTCAGCCACCAAGGAAGGACTATACCTTCGCGAACTGCTGGAAGAAGCGAAGCTGGCCCAGTTACCTAGCTTCTCTCTGTTCTGCGACAACCAGTCAGCAATCCGCATCGCCAACAAGAATGGATTCGCGAACAGAACGAAGCACATTGCCTTGCGATATTTCTTCGTGAAGGACGAGATCGAAAAGGGGAGACTCGAGCTGTCCTACTGTCCCATGTCCGAGATGGCAGCCGATTACTTGACCAACAAGCTCGGAAAACAGAAGTTCGAATACTGTATGCTGCTGACTGGACAAAACCACGTCACCAGCAGTGCCACTCCAGAAGCGAAGGGGAGTGTTGGAAACAAGTGACTTAAGCGCTTCTGATGTGTCGAAACACTGAACTGCAAGCGAAGCAAACTACAACGAAGCAACGGCGAGTCAACCATCGGAGGTTGACAGAAAATGTAACTGCTGGAGGTTACGCGAATGTCAAAGGTCGCTGACCTTTGACTTGACAAATACAGCGCGACAGCAAGGACAAACAACTGACTCGATACTAAGCAGTTGCCCGAGTCGTCACTGTATCGAACCCCAACAGCAACAGTAAAACAGTTATTAGTTGCACCCTTTCATATTCCTTGTAATCTTATAAAAGGCTTGTATTACTTTTCTATAATCAATTTATCTTGCCCTCACATACTAGCGCAAGGTGGTTCAACACTTGTCATTAAAACGCTTGCGCAACTACAACATTTCTACTCAGAGTTTAGCCTTGTAAAGATCCTAAGGGCTTTTCTCAGCCCAACAAGAGCAACACATGTACAACTGGACGGGCTGGCATAAAAGGGGTGCTGATTTTCACACATACCAGTAAAACGGCCTAATTTTAGAAAGCTTGCTTTCTCGTTGTAGCAATGGCATCGTCTCATTTCAAATGGCATAGTACAGACATGTCCAAGCTAGCATGCAATTACGGTATTCTAAAGCAATAAACTATCCATAATTGGTCCCAGTTCTACGGGGTGGGTGGGCGGGAAACAGGCCCCACGATATTCAGGGTGGTGGGGGGGGGGTTCCCGTTTCCCGGGAATTTGTTCCCCGAAGAATTTTCCCCCGCTGATTGCTTTCCCCACGTATTTTCCCGCCTCCGCCACCCCCTTGCACTTCCGACCCTGCGCAACGCACCAACCAAACGCATCAGATGGGGGAAACAGGGAACAGGGAACAATCTGAAACAGGAAATAGGGCACTGATCATCTCGGCACTAGGCGTGCGTCTCTCTGCTCTGCTCAGCAGAGTCAGGTCTGGTCTGTGCTGAAATCTGAACCCTGAACACATGCTTTTTTGCCCTGACCAGTCAGGATTAATGTCTGTAGAAGCCCTTAACATACAGGAAGTCTTTGAAAATTTGCCCTGACAAATCAGGGCATTTTTTAAGATTTTAGAAAAGTGCCCTGAGGCCTCATGGTGCCCCAATTCCTAGCACGGGCCCTGGCGGGAAACTAGGCTAAGCTGTTTGAAAATGAAAGACGTGGGTGGAGGGAAATGACCTCCAGCCCACGTTTTGTACTCCAAAACGGGCGTTTAGCGTGGTTCGCCGATGACCATTGCTACATTACAAGCCGCTTCGCTTTCAAAATACAAATTTTTGAAAAGCGTTACAGCTTTTAAAAATATTCATACTCGTACCATAGGTACCGTATTCAGTGTTGCTATCGCGAATGTAAGCTTGAAGGGAAGGAACCCCACATTCGCGAAAAATATATTCCACTTAACATGCAACGGGATAGGATGGCAATTTGTGAGCATACTCGTTCGCATACACTTGCCAACAAGTGCCTCCTTCATTTCAGTGCCGGCCGGCAATCGCCCTCCAGCTTCATTCTCTCAAGTTCGATCCCGCCCCATCACCCATTCTCATGCGTGTCATGTCATCTCCTATCTGCCTTGCGCTCGCTCTGCTGCACGTTGTCATCTTCTCTTCCCCTGCATGCGCCGGCCGGGCTAACTGTGCCTCGTGATCCGGAATCACCACGCAACACTGCAGCCCCGCATCTCGGAACAACTAGAACTTCTCCCCATCACCCACTTATCCCACAACACGGCTGCACCCAGTCGTCTTCTCTTTCCCTGCATGCGTTGAGCTAACTGTGCCTCTTGATCCGGGATGACCACGGGCCACTGCAGCCCCGCATTGCGAAACATCTATAACTTCTCCCCCCATCACCCACCTATACCACAACACTGCTGCACCCAGTCATCCCTATACCACAACACTGCTGCACCCAGTCATCTGCTCTTCCCCTGCATGCGGCGGGCCAGTTCTGCCTCTTGCTCGGGGATGACCACAGGCCACTGCAGCCCCGCATCCTTGAACATCTGCTCCGTCTCCATCTCCTCCGCGCGCTGCAAGATGGACTTGCGGATGCTCTGAGGAGAGGGAGGGAGGGAGGGAGGGAGGGAGGATGAGGGGAAGATGAGAGAAGCCGAATGAGTGAACGCCCAACACTGGGTGTACATCTCCTCTGCTCGCTGCAAGATAGACTTGCCGCACTCTGAGAAGAGAGGGAAGGAAGGAGGCAGATCACCGTGGGATTAAAGGGACGATGAGATGGAGGGGATTAAAGGGACGATGGGAGAGGCTGAGTGAGGTTGCGCCCCACACGGAATGAGGGAGCGGGTTTTTTGGGCAGGGCGGACGAGGGATGGGAGGGTGAGGGGAGGGAGGGAAACGTGGAAAGTGAATTCATCATCTGCTGGGATTCAAGATCTGTCAAGGGGCATGGCAGAGGGCCGACGGCAGAGGGGCGGAGGGCAGAGTGCAGAGGGACAAAGAGCAGAGGACAAAGGGCAGAGTGCAGAGGGACAAAGAGCAGAGGACAAAGGGCAGAGTGCAGAGGGACAAAGAGCAGAGGACAAAGGGCAGAGTGCAGAGGGACAAAGAGCAGAGGACAAAGGGCAGAGTGCAGAGGGACAAAGAGCAGAGGACAAAGGGCAGAGTGCAGAGGGACAAAGAGCAGAGGACAAAGGGCAGAGTGCAGAGGGACAAAGAGCAGAGGACAAAGGGCAGAGTGCAGAGGGACAAAGAGCAGAGGACAGAGGGCAGAGTGCAGAGGGACAAAGAGCAGAGGACAGAGGGCAGAGTGCAGAGGGACAAAGAGCAGAGGACAGAGGGCAGAGTGCAGAGGGACAAAGAGCAGAGGACAGAGGGCAGAGTGCAGAGGGACAAAGAGCAGAGGACAGAGGGCAGAGGGAAGAGGGCAGAAGGACGAGGGCAGATGGAATAGGGCAGAAGGGCGGAGCGGCGGAGGGGCAGAGGGGCAGAGGGACGGAGGGGCAGAGGGACTGAGAGAGGGACAGAGGGACGGAGGGACGGAGGGACGGAGGGGCGGAGGGCTGGAGGCGTGGAGGGACGGAGGGACTGAGGTGACCCAGACGAGGTTGAGGACTAACTACCGAGGCATTAAACAATAGGCTGCCTCCCGTTGCAAGCACATAAAGTGGTTTGACAAAGGAGCAGACGCAGGTACCATACGGAACCAGAGGGAGGATCCGAAACTGGACGCACAGCCGCTAATAGACGGTAAAAACTTGCTGTGTACGGATGCAAATTAGTATGGATTGCGGTGCAGCGCAGTGCATTGCATTGCAGTGCGGTGCAGGGATCGGGAAGCTCAGTGTGAACAGACATGGACTGCAGATGGCAGAGGGAGATCAGCTCACCTGCGCAGTTAGTTGAGTGCAGTCCATGGTCTCCTCTTTCCCGTTATTGAACGTGACCTATAGGGAGGATACACGGGCGGAGCATGAATGGATGGCTCAGTAATGTACGGGAGGAAAGGGTGTGTCAGGAGGATGGGCGCGACAAGGCTGATGGAGAGTAACATAGCATTCACAGGTGGTGTAAATCCCTAAGTTGCTGCCACGTGTAGACACAATGGCACCAAACTAGTGTCCACTCATGTGTCAGGATGGGCGTGAAAAGGGCAAACAATCTGGTAACAATCTGGTGAGTCTGCTTTTGAGTCGACTCAAAAGCAAACAATCTGGTGACGAAACGCGACTACGGCAGTAGACGTGTGGGCTGTGGAGGCGTTATTTCCATCAACTTTAATACAGAGGTGCAGAACAACGGCAGGAAGAGGGGACCCGTGGAGCACGGGAGAACACAGCGGAACACGGGGGGACACAGGGGGCGGGGGACACGGGGGAACACGGAGGAACACGGGGGAAAACGGGTGAAGACGGGGGAACACGGGTGAACACGGGTGAAGACGGGGGAACACGGGTGAACACGGGTGAAGACGGGGTAACACAGGTGAAGACGGGGGAACACGGGTGGAGACGAGGGAACACGGGCGAAGACGGGGGAAGACGGGGGAACACGGGTGAAGACGGGGGAACAAGGGTGAAGACGGGGGAACAAGGGTGAAGACGGGGGAACACGGGTGAAGACGGGGGAACACGGGTGAAGACGGGGGAACACGGGTGAAGACGAGATATCGGAAGCGCGGAGGAGGGCGAACATGACGGGGGAGAGCTCGATACCACGAAACATCGCGCCAACAGCCGCGCTACAAACCCTAAACCCGAAACGAGTAGTTCTCGCACCTGAACGAAGGGAGGATGATCGTCCGTGCGTCGTTTCACGGCGACGTCGCACTTAGGGTTCGAATCGCGCGCCTTCTGCGAGTTGCATTGCGCCAAAAACTCCAGCGCCGCCGCGTTCCGCCGATCGAACGCGTTGAACTCGATGCGCACGCGGCTCAGATGCTTCAGCATGCTCGCCTGCTCGTGCTAAACCGGCGCACGCTGCTAATCGACGCACACCGCGACTATGGAGTAGACCTAAAAAAACACTTCAGATGCTTCAGTATGTTCAGCTGCCCCTGCTAAATCGGCGCACGCTGCTGTCGAAGGCTATAAATTTGAATCTGTTAGGGCGTGTTGCATTTCAAATATCATTTTGTGAAAAACAAGTCGACCTTTTGCTGTTTACAAATCCTGTCAAATTCCGTTAGGGCGTGTTACAAACCCCCCACTTGCATCCTGAACCAATCCAGCAACTGCTCACACCCGTACCCGATGGAGCTTGCGAAATAGAGTGCGAATGTTTACGTATACCTTGTACTGTATAATTCGTTTGAACCGGAATCTGAACCTCAGGTGTCACACTATTGTGGTCTTAAGGGCTGGTGGTAGTTCTGTGAACTTCAGAACGCGTCCCCCTTCCCCGACCCTGGGGAAATAGCGACCCCGGTGGGAATGATCATGGGAGGAGACGCGTCCTGAGGACGCGTCACCTCTAGCGGATCGGAGGAGATCGTCTTTTTACACCGATCTCGGCATGTGAGCCTAGGATCGAGGCCGAACGGTGCACCTTTGCAATCCTGGGTTCCACCACGAATCTTTGGGCGACAGGTTCAGAGACAACCTGCCACATTTGGCGGGAGATCCAACATCACACCCACGATCTCCAAATCAGTGTGCCCTCGACGACACACCGATCATCAAAGTTGGAGGTGACACGATCGTAGAGGCTAGATTACGGTAGCGTCGCCAATATTGAGTAACCCTATTTTGATGACGCTACAGATTTACTGTAGGTCTCCAAAATCGAACCTACGCAGGATCGATCCGCTAGAGGGGACGCGTCCTCAGGCTATTACTTCAGGGCGAAATATTCCTCCCCCGCCTTGTGCGCTGTCAGCTTTCCTTCGACTTCGCTGCCAATAAGACCAGTCACACCTGTGTCGTTCAGGGCTCGGTTTGATACGGTCAACCACGTTCAGGAGTGGCACTTTATTTTTCACCACTTTAGACCATCGCGGACCAGAGTAAACCTCTCTAAGTCAACGAAATAATGACAGAACCTAACAGCGAGTCCAGCGCGTACACTTCATCGTTGTGGCGCAATACGATTTCAGACGGTGCACAGCGGTTATCACGATTAACGAGAGAGTACCCGCACACAAGAAGGGGGACGCTGGACCCACCCTGCTCTCTAAGGACCCTATTAACTACGTTGTAACCATACTACAGTGCGCTTTCTGGCCAAAATTTCTGTACAGTGTGAGAATGCGACTGATCACTGACTGATCACTGTTCGCGGGAAATCTGTCAATTTTCAGCCGCGATCGTTACAACGTCGCAGTCGCCACGTTTCGCCAAACGATCTGCGCACTCGATTGTGGGGATCGATATATGCAGACGACCCTGCGATATTTGCACTTTCAACGCGTCCTAAGCTCTCAGACGCGATCCATTTCAATCCAACCAATACCCGTTGTTGCGTCTGCACGCAGCATACGGACACCCAATAGAAGCCACAGTAACGCGTTTCTGAAACGCGTTTCTAAGACTGCGCATTTGGGAAAGTGACAAAGGTCAAAGTTGGGGTGCCTATAGGGAAGGGATTTGGTGTGACTATGGGGTTTCCTTGGTTGGGGACTCATTGGGGACCTTCCCTGTCGTCCTCCTCTTCCCTCCTACCTGGTTTATTGCTACTCTTACTTTCTTGTGTGAACTTGTGAGTAAATTGTGATTGAGTTAAGCTTCTATGGCAGCATACCCTCTAGTGCGCCGAAATTCATAACTCGAGTTATACCCCATATTGTGATACGATTCAAATTGGGAAGGATAGCCACGGTAAAGGGCTACAACATACTCGAGTTTGAGGGAATTCTAACAGTGCGGTTTTCGTCGACAACGTTTCTTGTGACGACGACGTTTCTGTCCAGAATTATAGTTGACGATTTTGAGATATTTCGTCCCCTAATCTTCATAGACTCCGTCCTTAGTTTCTAACACGACGGCGCGTGTGAGGGTAGTGATAGAAACGTTGCCGTCACACTTGCCAACCTGGTTTGGGTTTTCCCAACCACATGGCAGCAACTACAGTAGAAGTGACGAATTTCCCAACCCCCAAATGTCTATACCCCTTATGGAGTCAACCCCACAACTTCCCATAGTCGCCACAACCAAATATCAAAAGCATACGAACTTCAAATGTTCGTAACTTTCGTGTTCGTGCTCCGATTGAAGCGATCCTTGGTTCGTCGGAATGCTCTCGAGCAGAGGAGTCACTTCAGATATCTGCTCAAGCCAAATAACATTCACACACACTCAGAAAATCCAAACCACACCAAATACAAATTCTTGCACACGCTCACACCACGCATGCAACGCACGAACATATGATGGGAGGCAGACAGACGTGAATGCAAATGATAGCATCACATAACAAACTCCCCCTCTGGCTGCCAACCATCATCCCACATGCTTCAGCTCATGCATGCACCCTCAATGCACACTCATTCCAGCAAGTTTCATGCCCTTCCAATGCTCAGTTTCAGCCAGGCGCTTGGTGAGAATGTCAGCCGCCTGCTGATGGGTCTTTACAATCTCCAGCCGCACCTCCTTGTCCAGGAGCCTTCTCACCCAGTGCCACTTGGGCCTGATGTGCTTCGTCAGCCCATGAAGGCAAGCGTTCTTAGCAAGCTTCACAGCCGACTCGTTGTCACAGAAAATCACAGTTGGCTCCCTCTGGCACACTCCGATCTCCTCCAACAAACGCCTCAACCACACCACCTCCTTTGCCCCGTGATGCAGGGCCATGTACTCTGTCTCACACGAGGACTGCCCCACCTCATTCTGCTTCTTGCTGCGCCAACTCACTGCACCACCTCCAAACAGGCACACATAGCCTCCAATGCTGGTGCCGTCCGTCTTCACAGAGTTGAAGCTAGCGTCAGTGTAGCAGGTCATGAGCATCTCCCCCTTGCTCAAATCAGCTGCACCCCTTTGCAGCCTCTGTCGAGCAGCACTATACTCCAAACCCACTGATGCCGTTGCACTCACATAGCGGACCAACCTCTTGGCCGCTTCCAGCTGCTCATGACTGGGGCGTGAAACCACACTGGCAAGCCTGGATGTTGCAAAGGCAATGTCAGGCCGCGTGTGGTTAACCGCATAGTTGAGCGCCCCAACCATGGAATGAAACAACTTCCTGTCACTCTCACCCACCACCTCCTCATCAGCACAGGGCTCCACAGTGAACCCCGAAGGTAGTGGGGTGGCTGGCTTTCCTCCATCTTGCAGCCCATACTCCTCAGCCAGCCCCTCACAATACTTCCTCTGGTGCAACCTCAACACTCCCTTGTCAAGGTCCCTCTCCACATGCATCCCCAAATAGTACTTCACATCTCCCATCTTGGAGCACTTAAACTGCATCTCCAGCATTTCCTCCACACGCTCAATCATTGCAGACGACTCGGAGAAGAGGAGGATGTCGTCCACATACACCAGGAGCATAAGGAACTGCTCCTTCTCTTGCAACAGGAACAAGCTGTGGTCGCACTCACTCTTCTTGAACCCCCCAGCCAGCAGTGTCTCCTCTAGCTTGTGGTACCATGCACGAGGAGCCTGCTTGAGGCCATAGATGGCCTTCTTCAGCCTGCACACCCTGCCGCTCCCATCATCCAAACCCTCAGGCTGTAACATGTACAGCTCCTCCAGAATGATCCCATTGAGGAAGGCGGTGGTAATGTCCATCTGCTTCACCCGCCATCCACGGTTTGCTGCCATTGCCAATGACACCCGCAGTGTTGTGCCTTTCCCCACAGGAGCATAGAGCTCGTTGAAGTCCTTTCCCTTTGTCTGCTGAAACCCCTTAGCCACAAGCCTTGACTTGTAGCGGGTCAGCTCCCCATCAGGTCCGTACTTATGCCTGAAGATCAGCTTCGAAGAGATTGCCTTCTTCCCGGGAGGCAGCTCACACAACTCCCACGTCTCGTTCTCCAGTAGAGAGTCATACTCCTCCTTCACACTCTGCTTCCACTTTTCAGCATCGGGCCCACTCAATGCCTCGGCCAGAGTCTTGGGCTCAGGGACGGCTGCCCAATAGCAATGCGCTATCTCCTCCTCATCACACTGCTCAGCCACACTCCCAGCCCGTACCACCTTTGGCTTTCCAAAGCTAGGATAGGTCAGCCTGTTAGGAGGGCGCACATCCCTCCTAGGACGGTCATTCGGACGTTGGTCACGTGGTGGAGCATCGTGCTGCTGCTGCTGCTGCTGCTGCTGCTGCTCCTCCACCTCAGGTTCTCCCCCATCCTCAGTCACCCCAGATATCTCCTCCTCTGAGACAGTGACCTGCACTTGCCTCGAAGGCCGCTGCACCTCATTAGCCTCAATGATCAGCGGTGTAGTGGGAAGCTTCTGCTGCTGCTGCTTCCACTCCTTGTAGTACACTGACTCAAGGAACTTCACATCCCTCGAAACAGTCAGCTTCTGGCTGGTCAAGTCCCACACCAACCAGCCCTTGTGATCCTTGGCAATCCCCAAGTGCACACCCCATCTCCCAGAAGCTTCCAGCTTTCCCCTCTTCTCCTTCGGCACATGAAACACCACCATGCAGCCGTAGGCTCTCAGCATGTTGATGTCAGAACAGTGTAGCTTATGCTGTTGTGTAGGCTATAGTGGGGTATCCCATAGGGGGTACAACCAATTAGGGTTTCATATTTGTACCCACTTCATTTCATAGTCCATCCATTCTCGTTCTCATTTTCACATGGAATCAGAGCAGGTCCCCTCCTAGGGACTGTTCCTTGGGCCCACCGAAGCGCGCCTCGAGTCGCGCCTGCCTTTTTTTTTTTTTAGCGGCCCGTCGAGTCGCACCTAGCGGCCCGTCGCGCCGCCCTTACGGTCGCGTCGAGCCGCCCTAGCGGCTGCGGCGCGCCGCCCTTTTCCCGGCCCGTCGCCGCCCTTACCCGCGGCTTTGC